AATTATGGAGGGAACACTTTTCCGCCCTACTAAATGGTAGCAGCACGGAAAGTTGTGGAGAAGAAGAACCCGAGCCCGCAGTCGATGATGACGGAGTCGACGTTCCACCGCCTGACTATGACGAGGTACGTATAGCAATAACGCGGCTGAAAAACAACAAAGCCGCTGGAGCTGACAGCCTGCCAGCTGAGCTATTCAAGTACGGCGGCGAGGAGTTGATAAGGTGCATGCATCAACTCTTGTGCAGAATATGGTCAGATGAACGCATGCCCGACGACTGGAATTTAAGTGTGCTCTGCCCAATCCACAAGAAAGGTGACCCCGCCATTCGCGCCAACTACCGCGGGATCAGCCTTCTAAGCATAGGTTACAAGGTCTTATCGAGCGTATTGTGTGAAAGACTGAAGCCCACCGTCAATGAACTGATTGGGCCTTATCAGTGTGGCTTTAGACCTGGCAAATCCACCATAGACCAGGTATTCACAATACGCCAAATCTTGGAAAAGACCCGCGAGAAAAGGATCGACACTCACCACCTATTTGTCGACTTTAAAGCCGCTTTTGACAGCACTAAAAGGAGTTGCCTATACGCCGCTATGTCTGAATTTGGCATCCCCTCAAAACTCATACGGCTGTGTAAAATGACGTTGAGCAATACCACCAGCTCCGTCAGAATTGGAAAAGACCTCTCCGAGCCGTTCGCCACAAAACGGGGTTTCAGACAGGGCGACTCCCTTTCATGTGACTTCTTTAATCTGATGTTGGAGAAGATAATAAGAGCTGCAGAACTGAACCGCTCAGGAACAATTTACTACAAGAGCGTGCAATTGCTGGCTTATGCCGATGACATCGACATCATCGGTAACAAAAACCGCGAAGTCTGTTCTGCCTTTTCCAAGTTGGATAGGGAAGCAAAGCGCATGGGTCTGGTGGTAAACGAGGACAAGACGAAGTATCTCCTGTCATCAAACAAACAGTCAGCACATTCGCGCCTTGGCACCCACGTCACTGTTGACAGTTACAATTTCGAGAAAGTAGAGAATTTCGTTTACTTGGGAACCAGCATTAACACCGATAATAATGTCAGCATTGAAATCCAACGTAGAATCACTCTTGCCAACAAGTGCTACTTTGGACTGAGTAGGCAATTCAACTCGGAAACCGCTGGTGGTAGCAGAGGAAGAGGGAGGCCCCCACTGCGATGGAAAGATCAGGTGGAGAAAGACTTGGCTTCACTTGGCGTTTCCAATTGGCGTCAGTTGGCACAGAGGAGAAACGACTGGCGTGCTTTGCTGAATTCGGCCAAAATCGCTTAGGCGGTTACAGCGCCAAAAAAGAAGAAGAAGAAACACACATCGATTTACATCTTTTATCTCGCCTACGACACAGAATTGTTTTGGTACAAAATTACGCAAAAAAGCTTACTCGTTCGTTTTTAGGCATGCCATTGTTACGAATTTCGAAAGTTCGAAGATACGATTCGGATTGCAGTATACCATTCCTACATACCATTCCGAATACGAGTGTTACAGAATAGGGATGAAAAGAAGAAAGTGTGCACTGTAATTCTTAGCCAAATTTTCGTGATTTGCTTTTGATGTTACATATATTCGTATCAATAATATCAACTGGGTCTCTTTGGGGAATTTATTTTTAGCAAAAAGTTTAAAAACAGTAATTCTGTTTATTAGTCGGGCAATATTTTTTCATAGGGATATCCTTAGCTAAATACTTCTGTGATAAAACTCTCCCTTCTATGCTATTTAAAGTCAAAGAGTAAGCTCCTTCGGTAGGTATTTCCAGCAGAAATGATCAATGTCTGGCTTTAAAGAGAATCGATGCTCAAATAATTAAAAAGCTATAGGTCTGACGTTTAATTAGATAAGGATTACGTAACTATCTGAGATTCAAATGCTTACAAAAAACGGGGTGCTTTTTTAAAATAACAACAATATTCTGATCCGATTCGGCCGGCAGCCACGACTTTGAAAACAGAATTTTGTTCAAAATTTTCATTCCTGAAAAATAACAATTTATTTTCCATATACACCTATTCGAAAAACGCTGATGAAGTTACAGATTCCCCAAATTCTGAAACAGCCAATGGAATGAGAATGAACAATTCTTTTTAAAAGCTTTAGAAAAACCTGACATATGTATTTTATTTTGCTTGTAAGTGCTATTTAAACAACGATCTCGCCATTATGCTAGATCCTAATTGTTTCTTAAAAATACTAGACATCCGCATCCGCGGATGTTAGCTATTAGATATTCGCATCCGCATTCGCATCCGCGGATGTATAAAATTCCACATTCGCAACATCCCTAGTACATATTAATAATAGTAATATTAATTCCATTTACAGGTCTATTCTGCACGTTACCCAAGATTTTGTAACCGGAAAATTTTATTACCAAAAAACGTTACCAGTTCTTGTCACCGCGATTCTAGGTACGTTGGTAATGCAGTTAAAATATTCAGCAATTCAGCTATGAAGAATTGTGGAGATTCTGGCAATGCATATTTCACGGGGCAATACTTTGTTACCAGCTTATGAGATGGTAACAAAATTTACCGGTTAAAAGATTACACAGAATGCGAAAAGGGTTTAAAAATTGACAGTAACTTTATTTACCGGTTACAAACTTTTTATTACCAGCGCAGAATAGACCTGTTAAAGAAATGACGTGTCGTCCATTTCCGCTGTAGCGTACTTCGTCGGTTGAGAAGTAGATGTCGCCCTATGCACTAGACTTTTGTATAAGATCTTTGCAAAGCAAAGGTTTTATAGCATGAATGGACACACAACACTGCAAGTTGATAAAAGCGTTGTAAAAAAATAGTAGGCTCTATAGAGGAATTTATAGAGATTACAAATATTTTTTTTTTTTATTGGAAACAAAAAGTGCAAGTTTTATTCAAGGCCATAAAGTCAAAAAATTTATTTTTTAAACTTAAACATCTCGTAAACCATTAATTCGTGCTCGGAGCGGAGGCCACGGTAAGTCCTCCTGTGAGGAACCCCAGGAATGCAGACTGGGATAAATATAGGAAACTATTAGATTTTAACCTACCCGGTATAGAGGCAACATAGAAGAGATGGCTGCATGTCGCTAGAATACAGGGTTAATAGGTTGACGGACATACTGACCGACGCCTTTAACTCTAGCTGCCCGGAGACCAAGCCGAAGGGGAAGGCCGGAACTGCGTGGTGGTCTCGGGAACTCTCAGCTCTCCGGAAGGAGATACTCAGCTAAACTAACGAGCTACAGCAAGGAGATCAGGAAGGCCAAGAGAGAAAGTTTCAGAACCTTCTGTGAAGGCATCTCGAACACTCCAGCGGCCGTGAGGTTACACAAGGCTCTTGCCAGAGGAACGGTGGAATCGGAACAGCATAGATGAGAGGTCAACCACTCTGCTTGCAGCTCACTTCCCGGAGGCAACTACCTTAGAACAGGAGCCGGAGGTCCGGCGAACTAGACAGCGACCATGTGACTGGAAACTGGCAAGAAGTATTTTCACCCAGGATTCAGTCAGGGGGGCGCTGGGATCGTTTGACCGATATAAGGCCCCAGGGGTAGATGGCATCCGTCCAGTCATGTTGCAGCAGGGTGGAGAGAACTTAATACCACACCTAGCGGACATAATGAGAAGCAGCCTTGCGGAGGCTTATGTCCCACAGGTGTGGCGGAGGGCGCGAGTAATCTTTATCCCGAAGGTGGGAAATAGGGACTACTCGCTAGCAAAGTCTTTCAGACCTATAAGCCTTACCTCCTTTGTGCTAAAAGCAATGGAGAAGATAGTGGACAATTACATAAGATCTAACATTCTGAAGGTAAAACCCCTACACGTTTGTCAGCATGCGTACAGAGCTGGAAGATCCGAGGACACAGCCCTGTATCAACTGACAACCGAAATTCAGAGGGCTTTGGAATGCGGAGAAACAGTGCTCTGCGCTTTCCTCGATATAGAAGGAGCGTTCGACAATACGTCTCACACTGGTGTGCGCAGGGCACTAGAGAAGAGAAACGTGCAGCCAACTGGGTGGATACGCAGTTGCATACTAGGATTGCTGAAACCAAGGTGGGGGACAGCGTGGTACAGCTATTAACAACAAAGGGCTGCCCACAGGTAGGGGTTCTTTCTATCCCCTCTTCTGTGGAGCTTAGTGGTAGATGAACTTCTGCAGCTTCTCTCCGACAATGTTATCCGCTGCCAAGGCTATGCGGATGACATAGTGCTCATTGCCAGGGGGAAGTTTGAGAGCACCCTCTGCGACATTATTCAAAGAGGCTTAAGATTAATGAAAAGATGGTGTGCCAAGTTAGGCCTTGCATCAATCTGGCCGAAACCGCCATCATCCCATTTACCAGGAAAAAGAACCCTGTTGGGCACGAGGGACATAACCCTGGAGGGGGTCGTGGTCGGCGTCGCCAGCAAAGTGAAGTATCTGGGAATAATCCTAGACACCAAACTTCTATGGAAGTAGCATGTGGACGCGATCGCCTCCAAGGCAACGAAAGCGTTAATGGTGTGTAAGCATCTAGCAGGAAAATCCTGGGGTTATAGCCCCAGGATCCTAAGATGGCTCTACATCATGATAGTTCAGCCAATGATTACCTATGGGGCGGTGGCTTGGGTTTCAAGAACTACTCTGGCCACGGTGTGACAATCACTCACCAAGCTACAGCGACTGGCTTGTGTATGAATAACTGGAGCAATGCGCACATGTCCGACGACGGCGCTGGAAGTAGTCCTCGAACTCGATCCTCTTCACATAACCATAGAGCAGGCAGCCAAAAGAACTCTGCTCAGCTTTGCTAGAGAGGGATGTGGCAAAGGTAAGGTCATATCCTCTAGGAATATGGAGAAGCTAGGGGCTTCGATCCCGCTTGCTCTGTTCCCTAGAGATGACATAGGAAAAACTATAGTATTTGAGAAAAGATTTAAGATAGAGTTATGCAGCAAAACAACCTGGAGCGCCCCCGCATTCGAGGGATTACTCCAGAAGTGCATACTGCACTGGTACACAGATGGCTCGAGGACCCCAGATGGAGTAGGGGCAGGAGTCCTTGGGCCCAGAACAAGAATCTCTGTTCCTATGGGGAAATACCCGAGCATGTTCCAAGCAGAAGGCTATGCAATCTATCTATGTGCGGAAACAATCATGAGTAGAGGGTATAGAAATGAGAAAATTATAAAGTTGAGTGATAGTCAGGCGACACTCAAGGCTCTTCTATCTTATGAAGTCAAATCCTCACTGGTCCTTGAGTGCATTGACAAGCTAAACTCCCTTGGCAGGCACAATAACATCAGGTTAGCGTGGGTACCCGGCCATAGGGTAGTAGAGGGAAATGAGGTTGCAGACTGCCACACTAGGAGGCGGCAGCCATCACTCCAGTTGGCCCAGAGCCCTTCCTGGCAGTAGGTCCCAATATCATAAAGGAGCTTAGGAGAGAGAGGCTCACACTAAAAAATTTTTAAGGAAGTTCGGTAGGAATGCGCCAGGCAAAGAGTTTACTTGGAGGGTTTAACAAGAAAAGATTTCAGGGCTTAATAAACCTCCCAAAAGAGAGCCCTAGAATTTTAACAGGTTTCCTTACAGGACACTGCAGACTTACGGGTCACCTACATAAGCTGGGCCTATGGACGACTGATCTTTGTAGGTTCTGCGACCTGACCAGTGAGACGCCGCTTCACATTCTCACCGGATGTGAGGCTGTCTGCAGAAGACGTGAGAGGAGTTTAGGCTCGTTGTGGCCACAGCTTGACCACATCCAATCCCTACCCCCGAAGGCACTATTGAACTTTCTGAGGGAGCTGGGCTTAGATGAAGAGAAGAGGGCACAATAGATCACCAGGTCGCAGTGCACACCACATATTAATATCTATCTATTAATCTAAACCATTAATCAAATTTCAAAGATTTTTATGTCGTAATAAGGTAATAAAAATACCGTAGTGTAATAAACAAAGTGAAATCAATATATGACATATTTATTTTAGATACGCTTATTTGAAAACACTTTTGTCATTTCATTAACCCATTTGCCAGTAGCGCCACTCATTTTGTTTTTTTATATTACTGGTTACTGAACCCAAAATCTCATGTCTCACTCTAGGATAAGCTCTTATTCTATTCATCTGTTTTAAAAACAGTATGGACATATGGAATACAATTATGGGGCTCTGCAGACCCTCCAATATAGAAATAGATACTCCCCAGGCTCCTATTAAATAATCTTAACCCTCTAGTAGGCTGAACCGCCTCCATACGGTCGTTAACTAAACACGTATTTAGTGCACCTATAATAATTTTTTTCTATATTCGAAAAGCACGATCTTTAGAAAAAAGCGTACCTTTACGAAGATGTAAATTTTAATCCGTTATGTCAATCCGTTTTATTTTAATCGGCAGTTGAATCACAGATTGTGAAAGACTCGGTTAAATTAATTATTTCTTGCTATTAAGTAATTTCGTAATTAAAGAAATTTTTTCTGTTGAAACATTTTTTGATACAAAAAAAATTAGTGGGTTTCGTAGTTACCAGCACAGTATTTTGATATAAGTTTTATAATTATGTCACCATTCGAAATGGAGAAAATTGCTTTCGAACACAGACTGTCTACAGACCGGCTTGCCGACATATAAAAACCCAGTTTGCATTTTTGACCGTCTGCAGACGGGATTGCCGGTTCGTAGGTCAACATTGTGTAAGAGAAAGCAGAAAATACGTCAAAGTATATCGGCGAGCCCGTCTCCAGACGGTCTTGGTTTTTCTCCCCTGTAGGAAAAAGTTACTGTCACAGGTCGAAATGGACATCATTTTTGGATTTCTCGTGCTAAAATCATCCATTTCTGAATTTTTCAACTCATACAAAAATTGGCCTACTAGAGGGTTAAAATGATTGCGAACGGTCCGTTTTATGTCACAAACAACCAAATACACCGTGACCTAGATCCCTATTGGTACTTCTGAAATAAAAACTACGCCTTGCCGCACCAACAACAAATTCATGATCACCCAAATCCTCTTATTTCTACACTCATTTCTCATAAAGTATCATTCTGCGACTTAAAACGAAGTCAATATTAGATCTTTACTAATATTGAACACTTGCACCACTGAGTGTACTCCATACATGATTATTTTTTTTATCTAGTAATAAGTTTTAAATATTGCTTAATGCACAATACAGATTGCAATAAAATATGTGAATTTAAAAAATATATATATTAGCTAGCGCAAAATAGAAATACAAAGTGAAGTCAAGTCAAACTGCATTTGGTATTCTCCTGCCAAAGCCAGCAGAATCCAGTACTTTAAGGGCTATGGAATTGTTATCTTTATAGACGACGTGGCCTAGCAAGTCAAGAAGTCGTGTTTTAATTCGCTTAACCATAATGCGTTCGTATAAATACATACATCCATAGCATATGTGTTTGTACACTTTGAGATTATGTAGCTCATCGTGCCATACATGAACAAAAGCCAAAAGGTTTATGCAGTCAAATATATAAATGAACTGTTTACATTTAAATTTTAAAATAAGCGTTCGTCATATACTGATTTCACTTTGTTTATTACATTATGAAAAATACCTCTCTTTGACATACAATAATGCTATTCTTTATTGAAAAAATTTAACCGACTTAAAAAAAATATATATATATCTATATATTTCATGATCCAATGATCGGATCTAAACCAAATTAGTATGGGACCACCTCTGAGACACTACCTTTCCGTTGCAACGTTGCAAAAACAATTATTGAAATCGGTTGACGTGGTGCAAAGTTAGGCGGTAACATACATAAAAAAAAAAAAAATATTCCGACGAACTGCTTATAAAAAAAATAAAAATTATAATTTATGGATTATAACCCTCAGGCAGTAGAATTCTCCTTTCTGTGTTGCCAAAGAAGGGGGGCTGAACACCTTTTGCAGAGAAAACCTTTCTGCGTAGACAGCCTTCGGCCGCACTTAGGGATTATAACCCTCAGGCAGTAGAATTCTCCTTTCTGTGTTGCCAAAGAAGGGGGGCTGAACACCTTTTGCAGAGAAAACCTTTCTGCGTAGACAGCCTTCGGCCGCACTTAGGGATTATAACCCTCAGGCAGTAGAATTCTCCTTTCTGTGTTGCCAAAGAAAGGGGCTGAACCCCTTTTGCAGAGAACACCTTTTTGCTTTCTAAAAAGGGGTATCCCCCATTGGACTCCTCCCACAGGCACCTAGGGAACCGTTTGAAAAAGGGGGAAAAACGGATTTTTCTTAGACAAAGTGAGCAGTTTGAAGTGGAATATGACCCAACTAACAGAAACCGTGGGATTTTTTAATAAAAGAAATTATGCCAAATTAGATATGGGGGGATTTTGAATAAAGAATAAAAAGTTAATTAAAAATAGAAAAAAAAAACAGTTTTTATAAAAAAAAAATGTTCTTTTTAACAAATGTATTTTTGCGGCGAATTCCTTTCCACCCCCTCCGCCAAAAACGGTGTGAGCGCTACTAAACATTTCCCGGGTTTTATAAAAATATCTTGTATATAAAAATGTATATACAAATTTATAACAAAAATTTGTAAACAAATGCCATATTTCGGGTGGTCTTTAGTAGTCAGCCGCATCTTGCGTTTTAAGAAAACCAGGTGGAATTAACAAATGAAACTTGGTCAGGATGTTAAGGGAGGTATCCTCTAAAACATGTATAACTAAAAAATATAAACAATATCATTGTTAATAAGTTATTTGTTGTTAAAATTTCTTAAGTCGTTCCACTTGGTTTCCTTAACAAAAAGTGCATTTGTCACATATTTTCATATATATAAATGCACATAACACTGTACTTAATACTTTA